GAGAAAGAGTTATCTGATTATCTAAAATAAGCCATATTAGTTTGCTACCCATTCACAACAGTGTTGGCCCAGATCATTTTTATTTCCCAATGAAACACAAGCCTAGTTCTTCAGATTTTATGGTCATGGAAGAAAAATCCATGAGAGTCACAGAATTAGCTACTATCATTCAAGAAAAAGCATGCTTCTATAAAGCAGCAGTTGCAAGACTGTGATGCTCTTAAATGGTGATCTGTGGGCATGCAGGAATAGAACTCAAGCATTCCTACTTTCTTTCAAGACTGATCTGCTGAAGTCGGGCAGCCTTTGATAACTCCCAACCATGTGCAAGGATCAGATCTGCCCCTCAGCATGCTGCACTGAGCCAGAAATATCATCTGTGTAGGCCACCTGCCCTGTATACGAAGAGAGAAAGAGATGTGGCTAAAGTGTCCATAGAGAGGAGGTGGGTGTTGAGAAAGTCCACGTTCAGATCTGTGCTGGAAGAGTGCCATGGAGCCCTGGGAGCCTATACCTCATTTCTCCTCCAGCACGCATATGCAAAAAATAGCTTCTGTGCAAGGCCTGAAAAGGCTTTGTATTCAGCTGCAGGAATCAAAGAGCCCCAAATAAAAATTAAAAAAAAAGAAAAAAAAGATGGCCTTACGTGAATTCCATAAATTTTGTATGTACAAACAGCCAGGGATTCTCAGACAGCATAAAAGAACATCATCATTTTCCCATCTCTTTGGTCCATCCCAGTGCATTTTGCAATACCATCCAGTTCCATACAGCCAGAAGTTTCCTCCTCTCCTTTGAAGTGGACACCTCCAACACTTGAAGCAACAGATCAAATATGCTACTGTTGCGGTTGAAATTAAGGTCAAATTTCCCCACAGTTTTGTATGTTACATATATACAAGCACTTAAACTACAACTATTTAAAGTAAGTGTACTGCAATTGCTTTTCCTAAGCTACCTAAAAAACCCAAAACAGAATGTCAGAGCAGGATTGCAGACCCAACAAGGGCCTGATTATCTAGACTGAAATGGCACCCTCTTATTTTCTCCCACAACATTAGGTAAGACTCGCAAAATGATTGAAACACTAGCGTTTCTTTTTTCTTTTTTCTCTTTTTTAAATTTACACATGAATGCTCAAAAGTACCTATCATTTGCTGAACTAGGTCCATAAAATTAAGTTCGTGCTTTCTAAACTACTGACCAGGAACAACTGATGTTTTTGACTTCCTGGTTTCAGTTTTTCAATATAACTGTTTTGCATTTGCTGGTGGAATCTTAGTTTGTTACCAACTTCTACATTAATTCCCTAGGAACATAACCTGTATAGCAGTGGTCACCACCGGTAGATCTCAGAGCCTCTTGTGGTATATCTTAGAGCCTCTTGGAGTCGATTCGAGGCTAGGGTGGGGGACTGAGTGCCTGCGTGCATGTACGTGCATGCCCCAGTCCAGCAGGTCTGTCCATGGGGGAGGGAAGGGGTGGGTGATAGATTGAGGCCCCCATGGTGAGGGACAGTGCCGCAAAGACAGGAGCAGGGTAAGCTGAGTGTGGCCCCAGCCACATAACTTTTTCTTCCTTGGCCTCAATCTGCCCCACCCACCCCACTTCCCTCCCCAGAATTACCTGCTGGTGGTTGCTTTTAAATGACAGAGGTGATGCCCTACTTAAAAAGGCTGGAGACCGCTGCTGTATAGGCTATATTCTCTATTCATGTAAAACCTGCAGACAATGGACCTACATCCTAATGTATCATTACAGTCTACCCTCAGATACACACACTTCTCCTAATGACTTCAAAAGGAGAGAACTGCATTTGAAGTTAGAATTCTGCCTTAACGAGTCATTCAGGTAAACAAGACACTAAAAAAGAAACCCTTAGGTTCTACCTTAGCAAATGTTCTTTTCCTTCCTGAACATACATCAATAATAGCTTCTTAAAAGTGAAACCACCTTCTCCTCTTTGCACATCTTCCTGCAAATTATCTTTGTGTGTGATAATCATAAATAAGATATACTAGCCCCAAAGGCCAGACAATTATTCCTTTTGGACTCGTTACTAAAACTATTTATATAGAGAGCCAGAGAGACCAACACACAGCACTCTCACATACACACACACAAACCTTTCCATCTATAAGAAAGGTTTTCTCCTGCAAAAGAGGAAGTGTAGAAAGAACGAGTTCAGACAAGAGGAAAAGGGAGTTAAAAACCCAACCTCCAATACACTAATAAACAAACTGCTCTATTGCAAGATTCAGATCAAAAGGTTTAAAAAGGCAAATTATGCTACTATTAGAGAATATCAAAATGTTACCATTTCCATCACAAATGGCATGTATGCAAAATACAATTGCACAATAATGCCTAGGTTGCAGATATAGCAACACTGAAGTCAGCCGACTAAAAGTAAATGATGTATCCTTTTAAATTTTCTGTTCAATCTCTTGGCATCCTTGCAAATGGTGCAAAAGCATAAGCTACTGAATATCACACCTTGTATAGAATATTAAGTGATTCCTTCAGGTAAGACTGCTGCAACACTAGCTAATTTTAAATCTGCTATGATTAACACAGTCAAATCTAGTTAGTATGCAAAAAAAAAAAAAAGATAATTTTCTCTAACACAGAATGAGAGGTTATGATGCAACAACATGAACAATCCCTGGTTGTCCAGTTTTCAGTACAAAGGTAGTGCATAGATCCAAGTTTGTTTCAGTTTGCTGAACTGAGAATTAGCTTGCATTTCACTTCTGCTGAGCATCCTGGAAGGCTTTCAGTTCCTCCTGGTACCACTCTGGTGCTTCTGGCCCATTCTGCCCCATGGGATTGTGATCATATCCATAAGCCACTGTTAGTTCTTCATCTTTCTCCACAGCTCTGATGGTACGGATACATTTGACTGGCCCAAAACGAGGATGAACAAACCTAAACAATGAGGAATATGCAGGTTAGTGTTTTGGATTTACCCAAAGAATCTTGTCTGCCAAGTTAGTGTTTAGCTTTTTAGTAACCTTGAAAAAGCGGTGCGTCAGCCTGCCAGCCCAGGGCTGCTCTGACTTGGCTCAATGTGTTGAAGAGGGGCTGGCTAGGGCACAAGACTGCCACCCTGGTGCCCCAGCCAGCTGGTCAGTGTCTACATGTGTGCTGTTACACACAAAAAGACTTGTATTTACATGTACTACCCTGCTGCAAAATGTATTTATTATATGTGCCCTAATAAGGCTACACATATAAATGCTGAAATGTTTACTGTGCAGTTAATTAGCCAACCGCACAATACACACCTTGTGTAGATGTGCCCTATTCTAATGCCCAACTACTCTCAGTCCAAAAATTTCCCCTAATCTCCAGCCAGCCTAAATTTCCCCTGCTGCAGCTTGAGGCCATTGATCCTAGTCCTGCCCCCTACAGCCACAGAGAAAAGCCCATCTCCATTTTCTCTATAAACACCATTCAGGTGTTATTAAATCCCCTCTCAGTCTTTTGCTCCAGGCTAAAAAATCCTCATTCTTTCAGTCTCTCTCATAAATCTTCCCTCCCATGCCCCTAATCATTTTGTTGCCCCATGCTGCATGCTTTCCAAACTGTCCATGTACTTCTTGACATATGAGGCCCAAAACTGGACACAGTACTCCAAGTGATGCCTCACCAGTGCTGAATATAGAGGAAGAGTCACTTCCCTTGATTTGCAAGTGACATACTGAAGATGCTATCTGATGGGGCAGTAGGAAAAAAAGAAACCTATTTAGGGCAGGTTATTTACTAAGGGTTTAATAAGGGCACATTTCTGCATATCTCCCCTAGGGACTTGCTCTAAATGAGGCAATTTGATTTACAAGGATATAGAATATAACTTCATTATATATATATTTTTATACTGTCATTTGAAACTATGTATAGATTTACACACACTTGTCAAATTGCTTTCTAGTGCTCTTCAGCAACTATAGATCTATAAAATGCTTTTTTCTTTTTTTTTTGAGGAAGCTCAGTCTCAGTAAGCAGAGTGTAGATGTGAACCTGATTACATAACTCTTGATCTGTTCTACATGGTACTTTTCATCCACTCGTCTCAGACTCTGCCAGTGCAACATTCTACAATACAACAGCATCACCACTGCAGCATTTGGTTTTACTTACGGGTCATAAACGCAGTTAGGAGTGAAAGAGTGATTGGCTTTGTGACCCAGCGAGGCACAATACTTGGCAGGATGGTTGTAGGGCTCTGGCACATCTATGACTGTTTCATCATCCAGGGATATTGTGTTTCCATTGAGGGCCCAGTCTCTGCTGTCCACCTAATTTGAAAGGCAAAAAAATCCAGTGCATGCATGTTGGGGTCAGGTTTTTGTTTTTAAAAGTTCCAGCAAGAACATTCAGATAAATGTGTTAAGAAAAGTCTTACTCATAGTAGGTATTTAAAAACAACCCATTGTAATTTGGTTCTTAAAAATTTTCTGAGAATTTATTATCTTTTACTTCAATTTTTTATTAAACTCTACAGTTGGGAAGGTGGTGGGTAGAAATTGTACTATAAAAATACTATTTCAAAAGGAGCAATGAAAATTTAGACTGACTTTTTTTCTCTCCCCTTTACCTCCTGGTGTGTAATTCGCACTCCATTATAAAAGGACATAACCGTGCTAGCTTCTGCTGCTATTTTAGAAAACAGTCCTTCCCCAGCACTGGAAATGAGAGACACATCAACATACACCCTGAAAAACAAAAAAGAAAAAAAAAAAGAGGGAAAAAAAGAAAGGTACATTTTTGTTACAGTCAGCACAGTACTATTGCTACAGCTACTGGTGCAGAGTAGCCCCTACACCTCCAAAAAAAAAAATCCTACGCCTTCAAAAAATCCAGAGGCAACCTAGTAGCCTATATAGAGGAATTAAAGAAACAGAATAACTTTAAGAAATAGGACTCCAAGTCACCTAATCATAGTGCTCTGATAATGTTACTATGATGGTTAAAACATTCCAGGATGGTTAAAAAGTGCAGAGCACCTCACTCCTGCAACCGGACTAACTAAGATATGTAAAAGTTTCCAGAAGTCAGGTGCTACAAGTATCTTACCAAACACATTTGGTAAAGATACCAAGAGAGGAGGATTCCAATCAGGTCAGCAGAGAGCAAAAGTTTTTAAAATGAATGGGATTAAGACAGCCAAGTCACAAGATGTTCTGTCTACTGTACACAAACAATACAAAAAAGTAAAGTGAATGCCTGATTTGTATACTATCATACTCTGTGCAGTATAGAGAAATGTGGCATGTCAATACTAGAGGCTTAACATGAGAATGCTCCCCATTCCCTGAGACTTCCTATTTTATTCCTGGGAACAAACCTCTTTGAGTATGGGGAGCAGAATATCCCAATGCATGCCACCATACTTAGCACTGACATCAGCCACAGTTCATTTCTGTATTTAGAAAAGACAGACACTGTATTTGTGCCTGATCCTCCAAAAGATTAAGCACTCTGAAACTTGCAGGATTGGTCCCTTAATGAAGAGCTGTGGATTTTACAGAAATTAACTTTTTGGTTATGCTTTTTAAAAGCAATTTTTTCAGATGTTTGACTACAGCATATTATATCCATATCCTATCTACCAGCAAGGCTAGATCCAGGGGGAAGGCAGTTCATCCACACCCTTTTCTGCTGCAGCTGCTGTTATGCCCAGCTGACTTGGGTACATGAGGTGCCTCAGAGTTACCCCAGAGGCTGAAGGGAGCAGCTGTGTGGCATGCTGGACTCAGCCAGGAACAGAAGCAGTGGCATTCAGGTTCTTTCTTGTGGCGCCTCCTCCTGGCCAGTGCAGGACACAGGGGGAGGTGGGCAGGAAGCACACACTAGGACGAGCAACCTGTGCACCACTGCCACAGTCCCTGACCCAATGTGGCACTGCACACAGCCGCTACTCATAGCCCCTGCCTGGAGAGGGCAGGAATGATTCTAGGGGTCTCCTGATGACCAGGTCAGCCAGGAAAAGTGGTAATAGTAGGCAAGCCCCCCTGTTTCATGTACCTACTCCCTGCCTTGCTCCCTGATGATGTGGGATCTCCAGCTACGCTTTGTCCCATGGTCAGAGGGGGAGTGTGCTGCACCCCCTTTCAGGAAATCCTAGATCCACCCATGTCCACTAAAGTACAACTGCATTGTTTAAACTCCAAGGAAACTTCAATTAATTTTATGCTCCATATTATTTCCTCATCTGATATATTTGCTGCTCTCCCCCTCCCCTAAAGGCTGAAGATGGCAGAAAATATTCAAGGGAAAAGCTCAAACTACATCATCTTGCAATTACCGCTATCCTATGAGCCTAGATTTGCAGGTAGAGTTCCTAAATACATAGCATTTCAAACTTAAGTATCGAGAACAAACAGGCTACCTCTCTGACTCGTAAGGATCAGGAAGAAGTGCATTTGTAGAAATGCAAGTTGAAGTAGACTTATCAAAATTGTATACCGGACCTAAAAAGAGATCAAACGTAGGAATTCAATTTAGGGACAATATTAAAAACGCATGCATCTCTTATTATAGCAACATGAAATCAAGACATTCAGAGGCCAATTACATTTTAACAAGAAACAAAAAAGAAAACAAATCAAACAGATACACACATATTGGAAGGATTTCACGTAGAACTGCAGTGACCAAAAAAGGAAGCCAGCAAACGAAAGCCACAAACAGTTCTCAACCTCTTACTCTTTGTTTGTGTTTCTCTTCCCATACAACTAAAATAGCATGCTAGAAACATACAAAACCTTATTTTTATGAGATAAGGTCTTTTTTTATTATAAAACCTAGAGTCAAGTATTTTTCCCCAGTGACCCAGGTTATAGGTGTCCAACTTAAAGTACACCCAAAGTGTCCTTACTTTATCATGAGCCCAGTGATTGCTCTTTCAACAGTCTAATAATGGATATACAACATTACCAGGTCACATTTGAAAATCTTGACCTAGTTTAACAATTATTGTTTATCACAAGCACATACTCTTATTTCCAAATCAGAAGTTAAATAACTGAAGAGAAAAATATAAAAAATAATAATAAACTAGACTTCTTGCATTAATGTTTCCCCTTCTGTTATTAAACTTTTTAATAGGATAGCTTTATGTAAATTATATTCTTACATACTTGTCTAATCAACCATCTGAGGCATATTTTGGGGCAAAATTAAGATGCAGGTGGAAAAGACAAGGGAAAAAGCTGGGTATAGGAAAGTTTGATATAAAGCTGTTGTCTATGGTAACCAAGTTCTAAAAATGGATCTGTTCTGTGAGTGAAGCCAGATTTATACAAAGTGTAGTTGTATCCTATTTACAAAGCACAAATTGTACCCTCTCAGAGGGTTCTTCTTAAGTTTAATTTTGCTTTGCTGTCACATCTACCAGATTCAAAAACAAAAGGTTACGGATGTGGGGAAAGTGGGCCAGAGCACATTTACATTCTTATCTACACATGGATAAAGCATATAACAGTATCTTTTGGACACGAGTAACACATCTAAACTATCCTAATGCTGCATTAGTGGTCCTGATTTGTCCACAACTGGAAAAAAAAAAGCTGTAAGCAACTTAAAAAGCCACAAGTGCATGCCAAATTTGCCACAGCCATACCCCTTATGTAATCATGCTCATCAGTTAAGAGCAGGTGCAAGATATTATCAGTCTAACATTTAGCATTTTACACCCACTTTGAACTAGTGTAAACGATTACACAACTTGCAGGATACTGGTGATTCAGATTCTTGCATGCTAAAAGACAAACAGTCCCTTCATTAATGCTGATAACTATGTCTCTTACTTCCTAGTAACATGTCCAACTCAATGGTACAACTGATGGTAATACACCTAGGATTGAATCATGACCACATCCACTCCTTGTTTTTGTGGTTCTATAACATGTCAAAGTTTTTTGTAAGTTGATTTGGCAGCGGTGGGAGTGGGGGTAGGAGTGTGCGCTGATCTTCAGCGGGCAGCAGCAGGGTGAATGTGTGCATGTGTGCGCGCGCACACGAACAGTTCCAGAGTCAATATAGCAAGTGTGTGGGAGGAAAGAGACTCCCAGAGCTTTCTTTAGTTTTCCTCTCCCACAGCATATCTTTATTTTTTACAGCAACAGAATACTGAACACACACATTTTATGAATGTACTTCTGACCCAGCTCATAATAATCCCTGGAACAGAAAGGTTTATAAACCAAGTGTTCCCTCTAGTTACTTATTCCTCCTCCTCAGTTATATTCCAGGAGACTCAGAGGGGAAGTATTCAGAACAGATGAAAAACTTATTTGCGTATGGAGACTGGGGTGAAGAAACAGGCTGACAGGCACAGGCCAAAGCACTCACTAAAGTAGAATATGAGTTTGTGTTAGCTGAACTTACTGCCTGGTACCAGCTCAAAGTATGGCTTCCCCTCCTCTACAGATGTCAGGGTTGCCAATTTTGCTTCTAGCATTTCTCCATCTATGAACCTTCCGTAATATGCAGTCTTCCTATCAGGATACACATAGGCTATTTTTTCTCCAGTCATCTCCCCATCTTCATTTACTTCTCCTACAAGGCTGCCTCCATCCTGAGGGAGAGAGTACCAAATAAAAATAAATGTTTAAATATATTGTTACAAAATATTGATTAGATATGCATTGAGGAAATGGCTTACATAATTTAATGGGAATATATTCTTTACTGACTGGTTTCTATACTAACAAATGAAAATAAAAACACATTTTTCTGGGGGAAGCGTGGTGGGGAAGATGAAAGAATAACGAAGAAAAGGTCATGGGAAGAGACAGACAGAGGTAAGATTTAAAAAGAGCCAGAAGACACTGGAGGGACAGTATTCAAGACAAGGGAGAAAAAAAAGCAACCAACCAACCAAGAGAGTCCCTAAGTCTCAAACAACACACTTGGAACTACCACTTCCAGATGCATCAGTGTGAATGTCAAGAAGTGGCAGAAGCATATTTTAACAACCCTTGTAGCAGCAGGACACTGGCCAACCACAGCCCACCCCCCACTTTACTTGTGGTTGTGTCAGGGTAGACTGTGTACTTTTGCTAATAGGTTAGACCACTTATTTGTGTAGGATGGTTTGGATAGGAATGATCCTGCCTTATGCAAATGGTTGGACTAGATGACCTCTGGATGTCCCTTCCAGCCCAATTTTTCTATGGTTCATAGAAACAAAGAGAAGAGAAAGTGACAAAGCAAAAAAACTAGAGAGGGGAAAGGTTAGTTACTTTTTGCCACCAATGCTTCCAAAGTTTCCCAGGAAAAAGACCTCAGAATGTTTCACTCCCTCCATCTCTAGTTGCCAGCCTGCAACAAATGAAGCCACCTTCCTTATAACCCCAGTCATTTCAGCCTATGACAGCTGCTGTGACTGCATCAGAGCAGCTCTCCTTATCAGTTTCCTTACCAAATACCAAACTTAAGGAAATGATGCCACCCAGATTTGCTCCTTCAGTCCTCACAATTACAGCTCATGTAGCCCACTAATTTTTTTTTGGGGGGGGGGGGGGGGGGTGGCAGGGAACTTGCTAAGCTGAACCCTTCCTAGCAGCAGGAGTGCCATGAAGAGAAACACCGGATTCCAGTTCACCTACAGCATATGTTGACCCAGCAAATAAGTGACTGAACAGACAATTGCAGAATCTGAATTCCTTCATCTACAAATGAGCAGGACTAATGTGAGTGTTACTATCAACTGTGCACAGGATCACAGGACGTGGACTGGAAAAATGAACTAAAAGAGAAAGGCTGCTTTGTGGCGTCAGGGTACAGTACCTTCCTGTTGATCCAAACATGGAGCCTCAGTTTATGTTAGACCACCTGAAAGCTACATCATTTATCTTAATAAATTTTCATCCCTTATTTTAAAAATCTTTGATTACCCTAGGAAAGTCATAGATAATTCTGCCACCAACTAATTTAAATAAAGAACAAGCTTATGAATGAGAGACGTGGAGGGGAAGGGAAGGGAAGGTCCACAAGTCAACTACAATGAAAGGTCGGCAATTTAGTCATTGTTCTTCGCATACAGAGCACATCAACATAAGGGTTTTTTGATACTTGATTGAAATTTATGTCAGTGGAATGACTCGGGTGAGATCAAGTTGTGTAAGGATTGCAGGGTTTGGATTTACACCAACATGCAAGCCTTAACAACTTTCATAGATTTCATAGACATTAGGGCTGGAAGGGACCTCGGAAGATCATCGAGTCCAGCCCCTCGCCCAAAGGGCAGGAAGTCAGCTGGGGTCATAGGATCCCAGCAAGACAAGCATCCAATTTGCTGTTGAAGGTGTTCAGTGTAGGTGCTTGAACCACCTCCGACGGCAGACTGTTCCAGACCTTGGGGGCTCGGACAGTAAAGAAATTCTTCCTTATGTCCAGCCTGAAACGGTCTCGCAGTAGTTTACTTAATGCACTTACTTCAACCAAGTGATAGGAAGGGCTATCATTATCATACTGATGTTTTAAATGAAGAAAATCAGCTTCCACAGTGTGTGCAAAACAGCCAGTGGGACCAGGTTACCCAGGAATATTGTGCTTTAGATTAGGATTATAATTCTAACCCAACTGCATGCTGCCCTCAGATGGGGTTGCAAGATAGCACAATAATGCTCAACTGCAATAATAAAAGATTATTTCTAAGTCTGTTACTCAATACAACAATAGTTTTAGATGGGGGGGGGAGGGGGGAGGCAACCCGAGACATGCATGCCACAAGTGGCATGAGAAGCCTCTGTGTGTGGCATGCAGCAGATTGAGGAGGGGGCCTGCAGCACAGCAGACAATAGGACAGGAAGTAGAGCACCAAATTGGGCAGGGAGCAGAGAAAAGAGGAGCAGGTCAGCCAGTGGAAGGGGATCAGAGTGGCACATGGGGAAGGTGCAGGGCTAATTTGTGGCATGCTAGCCTAAAAGGTTGGCCCTAACAGTTTTAAAATATAGGCAACATTGCTAAACCATTCATGTTTCCTGTCCTTCTACATAAAGGATGAATAACTATGTTTAAGCAGCTACTTTTGTAGCAAAGATGATGTCTCTAATCTGTCATGACAACCCATGACATGGATTGAATATTCCAGGTCTTTCTCAGTAGGAAGCTGAAATAAGAGTTCTGTGACCATCAGAGCCAGATGATAACTGTACACACAACTCTACCACATCAACAGTACCCTTTTTTTTAAACCTAGATTTGTTAAGAGCACTTGGTGGTATTCTACCAATGCCTCAACCTTGATCACATCAGGCCAAAGCCACAGCATGCTCAGGCAAAGCTTCCGTGGCCAAGATAAGGAGGGCTGAATAGGGGTATTCATGAACAGAACAGGACTACAACTACCCAAAACAGTGTGACACATTTTAAAATGATACATTTAAAAATATTCTTTAGATAAAGGCTTTGAAAGTAACAGCCCAACAGAAAAAACACCTCCCTCCCACACTACTTGCTACTTTCTGGAACAAGATATTTGGTTTCCCCCTCCCCCCCCTTGGAATAAAACATGTTCCTACGATAAATCTTATTGCTAGACTAAGCCTATGAAGCCAGTTTAAGCAAAATGCCCTGCAGCGGCAGCTCAAAAAATATTCTTTTCTAGACCACAAGGCAGCACCAGGCTGCAGGAGATACAGGGGTACAGCCATACAGCAGTTGAGATCTCCCAAAAGGTCTGGGGATTTGAGTGTGAATCTTGCTCCATTCTTGTGCCAAAAGCTGTTGCAAGCAACCCACCTGTAAATGGGGACCCTGATCATTTGGTATGAGAAGCCAGAGGCAGCTGACTGTGATGCCACCTCATCACTCTACACTGGCCTGGTGAGTCACTGGGCTCAGGTGGGCCTTTGCCAGAGTTCCTGTGCACTTGCTCTGCAGCAGGCATTGTGGATCTCTGAAGTGGAAAATTCTTTGTCCCCATCATCTCTAAGCTGCCTACAAGCTTGGCTGAGCCAAGTTCCCTTGCACATAGCAATGACAGACATTTGACAGACACTAAATCCTGCCCTCCCCATGAACAACGCCACTAGGAGAATTCCACTACTTAGAAGACGCCCACAAAGTTACACAGGAGACCAAGGTGACAAAACACATAAGTCTTTTCACCTACAGACCACTACTGTGCTGAAAGTTGAAGAGGTGGCTTTCAGGTCTCAAGGACATTTATTTTCAATGTGAGGGGGAAAAGAATAAATGTTTTAGAAAACTGTTCTATGCTCCAGTGAAGTGATAAGCAAGATAGGAGGCTTACTGGGTAATATATCCAACACACTCCATGTCGAATATTGTCTTTGTACTGCCCTTTGAAAATCAGTCGCCCATCGCTGTCATATTCCTGGGCTGGTCCATTTAGTTCTCCATCCACATATGTGCCATGAAGAACTCCTCCATCCTCATAAGTGTAGGTTCCCTGGCCTTGCAGAGCATCATCCACATAATACCCTTCCAGCGTGCTGATGAAAAAGAGAAAGAAAAAGTGCAGTGTTCTCTCTCTAAAGCAGAATTCCTGAGACATGAACAAACACCATCAGTGTACTCACGGGAAACCTCACTCTCTTGTTATATTATGATCATAGTGTATATGGTTTCAAAACCTTGGCACAGAGACAGTAACAGGGTTAAAATAAATGCGTCTCCACTGACTTCAAGGTAAACACCCCTCCTCCTCCCAGCACTTAGGTTATATTTGTAATTCAATTTGATGACAAAAATGTTAAATCAAATCATTCACTTATATTTATATAGCATTTGTGATCCACACTACACCATGTTCCCTTTTATTATAGATTGTACAGCAAGTTACAGGAGTGAAGTGACTTGGCCAACACCAAAGAGGCACTTCTCATCAGGCAGGCTGCTTTCATGTTCATAGTTTCTGCTTCGTAATCCTGTGTTAAGATTTTTAGATCACCTCTCTTCAGTGTCATGCAACTGTGTGCCTTGCTGCCAGCCTAAAGTTTGTCTATATTCAATAATTTAACACTATTCTACACCAGATTCTCCAGAAACTGTCACTCTCTTTTTAGAGATTTCTACTAAAACAGAATGCATTCTTCACAAAGGGCTACTGACACTTAGCTAATGAATGCTGTTTTCACTTCACTTCGTCTTGCAAATCTTTAAGAGTAGCTGTTACAATATGCCATAATTTACTTTTTTTCTTAGAAAAAAGAGACATGAGAAAAAAATAAGTATTTTTTTAAAGTTGAATATATTCCCCTTTGTAGTGTCACTTTTTTCAGACTAGAACTGATTTATTAGAGGCTGAACTGCTCAGGTTTGCCTCAAGATATTTAATATATTATCTGATAACTGCTTAAATGTCCAATTATGCTCTCATTCTATCTTAAGATGAATTATGCAGAAATCTCCGGTAAAAGCCTAGTCAGTCTATCTGGGAATAAGAATACATCTGTTTCACAAGACTCCAGAGATTTACTCAATTGTTGTTGATGTGGCTTTCATCAGAAGTAACTCTTGAGATCTGAAAGTTTCCTTCTTTATTTCTAGATATACTTTTGTCATTTTGCTTGATTTTCTTTGCTTGAAATACTTCTCCTGACACAGTAGGCTACTAAGATGCCTATAAATAAGGCATTTCCTATTACACTACTTTGACTTGGGAATCATCTGCACTTGGAAATGGGCCTGCACACTGCTTAAGGAACATGCTCATTAGTACTGCCCACAGGTTTTTTTCTCCTTGGCCTTCTGTTAACCAACGCTTAAAATAGTTTGGCTGCTAGAATAGACTAAGTCAAACTTTTCTATGCCTTGAAGAAGATGCAGACAAGGCACCAGTTATTAACAACTACGAGCCATTTTCCTATTGTGCATAGAGCCAGTTTTCTTCTCCTTGTAGGCTTACCGTAAAAGATTATAGATACTGTTTTTCATTGGAAATGAGGACTTGCAGAAAGCCTACATTTTAAGAATGTACATTCAAGCAAGAGGCCATATTCACTTTGTATCTACACACAGTCTGCAATAAAAAAAGCCCAACGCCAGAGAAATTACAGCTCTACCACTTAAAAAAGAGACCTTTTCTCTCTCATTCCCCTTACTTACTTTACTATCATTTTTTGAATATAACCTGCACCTTTTCCCCCAAAAACCAGATGGAGAAAACTGGGCTGTGCATAACATGCAAGGAAAAGCTGCATGGGTGTGGAATCAAGGTGGCAAGGAAGGGGTGAAGTGGTGCCAGAATGAACTGCTAGGGATCTAGAAACTACAGCAATTAATGTTGCCACTGCTCCCTCCCTCTGGAACCATGTGCTGGCACTGGGGTCATGTGCTGGATTGGGCCCCACCTGCATGGCTCCCACCCCAGTACAGCTGGATTGGCCCCTGTAAAAGCCAGTGCACAGCCCCCATCCCTGGCACATGGCTCCCAGCACCCAAGCCCCTAGCTGTGGCACACATCCCTCTAAGCCCAGAGACTCCAGACCTCAAGTAATACTCGTATTCTAAAGCAAAGATCTTTTCTCCTTCTAGGAGCCCTCCCAAAATAGGATATGTATTATATTCAGAGGCATATTATATGCGAGAAAAAAAGGCAAGTCTTGGGAACCAAGTAGTTATCTTTGGCTCTTCTAAAACCCACACCCCTTAGCCCTTCAGCCCTCCTACATGTTCATGTTTTTCCATAAAGAATAAGACTGGAAAGGACCTAGTGAATCCCCTTTGCTTTGATGTTAGAGATGGTTTACCTACATTTATCCAATGTGTTCATCTACTCTAACTCGTTCTTTTATATAAATAAGGAATGGGTTAGATTAATACATGTCTACCTACACTTAATATGGGGGGTGTGTATAAATAAAATCTAATGAAAGATTCCACATCTTCCCTATAGTTAAAAATGTGTCTCCTCCTCTCCACCTTTAACCTAAATTATTTTCATGCAAAATTAAGCTGATTACTTCTTGCCCTCCCTCAGTGGATACAGAGAACAAATGACAGCACCCCTCTTTATAAGTCTTTCAGTATGCAAGAAGTTGGTATCCTGGCCCTTTTGTGCTTGAGAACATAAAAGTCCATTTCCTTCCACCTGTCTTTAGGAGTAATGATTTCTAAATCTGGTATTCTTCTCGCTCTCCTCTGGACTTTCTACATCTGCGTGGCACCCACAGCTGGACAAAGGACTCCAGTGAAGGTCTTACCATCACTGAGTTATTTGACTTACTCAGTTTATGACCTAATATTAACCCTAGATATTTTTCTGCTAAACTGCAAAGGCAATTATTTCCTTTATTCTCTTTCTATATTTCCACATTTCATTTCTACTTTCTAAGGGCAGTACTTAATATTTGTCTTCACTGAATTTACCTCTCCGGATTTCAGACTTCTTCAATTTAAATCAAAATTATTTCTGAATTTATAATCCTGTCCTTCAAAGTGTGTGCTACTCCCCTCAATGTGATGTCATCCAGAAATTTTCTACATAGTGCTATTTCATCCTCCAAATCATTAATATACCGAGACCTCTGCAAAAATCCACTGAGATGCCCTCCCAAATCTGACAGAGGACCAGAGATAACTGCTCTGAGTGCAGTTTTACAGGAAAGTCTCAGGAAATTTGCCTTGCTGCACTTATCTAGACCATATTCCTCGAGTTTGCTTCTGACATTCAAATGCCTTAAAAAACAAACAAACAAACAAACAAAAAAATCAAGATAAAAAACCCCCACACCTATGGCTTTGCTCTCATTTATTAGCTTAGATATTCTGCCAAAGAATGAAAAAGATGGATTTGTCAAAAACAAAGTTGTGTTGAACCAAAGTAGTTTTCCCCCCATTATGTTATCATCTTTTAGGTAATTTCAAATCAATTGTTTGATAAGTTTTTTTCTTGCATCTTTCCAGGTATTTGAAGTTAAGCTGAATGGTCATAGTTCCAGAAGTCCTTCTTTTAGCAAGGTAATTCCTCTGACTTTCCCATTACTGGTAGCTCCGATTAAAAAACCAAACACTGTTCTCGACACAAGCCAGAGTGCCAGTTAGAAAACAACTGTTCTAGCTTTATGGAGAAGAGCAGCTGTAGTGCAATGCTGGCCAAAGCTTTTCAGTTCACAGTAATTATGCTGAGCATTTTGTAAAGTGCACTCAAACAAGTGTTAGCATTAGTAAAATTACAACATGGAGGGTATTAGAGTTAACATTTCGTTCTTTCTAAAATCATGTGGCCATTTTTGTGGAGGTCTTTTCTCTCTCCTTTTAAAAATGACCCCTACAAAAACTGATAATTTCAATCCAATCTTTCTTACTTCTCTAAATTTAAAAAGATATTGCATCAGTAAGGAGAAGACAGAAAAGAATGTTGTAAAGAAGGGAAAGGTTTTCTTCATCTAAATACTCAATGTCTGAACTGGACCATTGTATACCTCCTCCACTAAAAATGAAAGACAATTATAGTCCCTGTGAACCCTGTCCCTTGTCTGGTATTCCCTATAACTCCTTCCTGAACATTAGACCTACAGCAGTTCACTTGTCAACTTTCACTGGCAGGCATGCAAGGTAAATGAACCAGGAAGGAAATGCATCTGGGCTAGGCTGAAATCAGTTAGCTTGTTGTACTAAAGCACCATAGGGCGAGATGTTTTGGGAGCTTTAAGATACTGACTTAAAGAGATGAGCTCTGATAAGTGCAGTGAACAGTTTTGAGTAAAGAAGTTTTTAGGAGTTGGAGAACAGTAAAAGCCGTGTAGGGGTGAAATTAAGCTAAAAAGTTTACAACATTTAAACCAGGAACTTTTTGGGGGCAGCATTTTCCTGTTCGATGAACTAAGTAAGGATGGCCAACTGTAATATCAGCAACTAAAGTGACATTTTCCCGCTCAAGGCACTTTAATTAAAGTTCATATCTTTGTTTATTTAGGCTTTTGCTAGCTCCTCAAGTTACAAAGTAGCCCATTATTTGGTTTAAAGGTGCAGGGTTGACAATTCGCAAGAAAATATAAAAAAGGCACAGCATAGTGTGGCAATCTTTTTTCTAGTACAGCACTGTCTTCACCCTGGTCTGCAAAATGGAGCAGTTTCTAGAAGAAACACAGCAAGTTAATTCCCATCTCTCTCTATGCTTTAATGTCTCTGCTGAGACTGCCAACAAGTGTGCAGGTATTGTATGTACATGGGTCCACTGAATCTTCATCTGTCAAATAAAAACCCATTTTACAGAGGTTAGCTTTTGATTACTAACAAGTTTGGGGGCTCTCTCAATAGGATTCTCTATGATTTGATATAGCCAACTAACTGCTAGCAACAGGTGGAAAGGTTCTTCTGGAAGCATGGAGATCCAAGCAATCAATCTCTTCAGGGTTTAATAATATTTCTAAGTTCCCCTATGTGCACCACATGTACAGCCAAAGGAGTGTGGTCTTCCCCAGTCAGCTCCAGTGCCACCGCTGCTGCTCAGAACTTTGCCAACCAGAAGGAGAGTGGAGTTAACAAGACTGTCAGTTTGACTGTTGCTATTCATAGGACTTCAGGCAGCTGCAAAACAATCCAAAATCGTGTCATTTATGCATCTGCTGTGCCTTCTGAAGTAATCTGAGCACCAGCAGAGAGAAGTACTGGAGCTATTATGAGGAAAGAAATAAATAAATTGATGTTAGGAGGGTCGGGAATGGGAACCTGCAGGCGAGGAAGCTGGCAGCACAGAATTACCTAATTTTTCAATGCCTAACTCCCACAGATGTATTTCTGAAAGAATCAGGCCATAACTGACTTGCACAAGATGGAAGCTGGGAACAAACGCCATATTTAACTCAGTCTTGCACTTTCACCACTTAACTTTTAGGAGTCATTTAAAATGTTATGCTTTTCTGTGGAGGGATCGTGCCTTTCTATACCTTTGTATAGACACAGTAAAACAGAACCACGATTCCACTTGGCACTTCTATAAACCACAAATCCATGGAACCAAATCTGGAAATTAGTTAAAAACTGTTGACAGTAACTTTAGAAGAATGTTTTATGATTTTAATTCCATGTTTAAAACCCTTAATTACATAATAAGCTTTAACTACTATGTAGATGACTCGACTCCCATATCAAGCAGCAGTCTCTGGGGTCACTCTTATTTTTACAAGCACAGGAAGTGACACTGGCTGCTATGTGAGCCAAAATGCAAAGAAAAACTTAAGCGTGCATAGGAAAGCAGCTGCAAGAACTGTGGAATGTATACACAAAATAAATCAGTCGGTGTAAACTAGAGGGGAGAGAGAAAAGAGAAAGACGAATACCTACCTTCCATCAAAAAAGAAGAACTTGCCGCGGCCATTCTTTTCGCCATGTATGAAGTTTCCTTCAAACCTGTCTGTGGACGAATAGGTGACTGTACAGAACCCATGTGGCAAGCCATCATCATCCAGGACCCCTTAAATAAAACCCAAACAAATAGGAAAGTAATGCATAATATCAGAACAAGTCCACAAACACTTACCACATATGCCTTACAACAATAGCTTTAGCAGAATTGTATAAGAAAAATGCTAGTCAAAGCATTTTATTAAGAAAAATAGCTTGGAGATATTTAGGAGACTCTGCAACTAGTGACTCCACAGTCTCTCTCCATTACAACTTGGGGAGGAGAACAGTAACAAGATAGATAAAAGCAACTAACGAGAAAGATTTTTGAGGAAAAATAGGGTCGATGCACTTAACAACAACAAATTTAAAAAAGGGCCCTCAAGCAGATTGCTTCCATGACATTAGAATGGGTTCTTATTTTAATCCCTGAAGAAACAGGAAATTTAAACAAACAAAACAGATGGATAATATCCCCTAACATCCTAAAGACTCATCCTACTAACCAGGGTGAAAACTCCTGGTTACACTTCAAAACTGATCCCAACAATTTAAAAAGCGATGCAATGTTTATGCGGTACTATACTTCTGTAACTCATCAACATTCCTTCTAGCAGTAACCTACCATCCTACCCATTTTATGCACTTCACACCAGTTTGTCCTCTTCTTGTCATAACTGGAATCAGTTATAATAGTCTTGTTTTAGCTTGTTGTATTCTCTCTCCTCCCTTCACCCTTTGAAAAGCAATCCTTTCCTTACCCTGTGAGCTCTCCCTTGCTTTCCTAGCATTTCCATCAATTTCTTTCTCCTCTTACTTTAACAGGACATTTTGGGTGCCTATACATGAGTGCTGAAACTACTCCAATGGCTAGAATTAATTGAGTCTGCTGGAGTGTGGCAACTGCCATGCTCCAGCAGCCTTTTGCATCTTGTACATCAGCATCCCCACTCTTAAAAATGGTGGTGGGGGTCCTTGAACTAAAGCTTGATTGATAATCACCATTTTTAAGTGTGGGGACACTGATACAGGAGACAAGGTGGCAGTTCAATTAGAGCAGCTATTGGAGCCACTGTAATGAGAGTGCCACCCCCCCACACACACACACCTGGAGCACATGTAAAAGTACCTTTTGAGAAACCCAAGGGCAGCAGAAGAAAGAGACCAGAGATATAGGTCTGTAAATTAAGACAGCTCTGAACTGACGAATACTTGCTTGCATTTTGGAAGGTGATCCTCACAGCTGTGCCATCGTTTAGATACATACATCTAACATTTTATGTGGGTCTGCACGTTTAAAAGGCAGCATGCCAGTGGAAAAAAAATCCTACTTCTTACTACACATGTTGGGAATTGGGAAGTTTAGGGCCAGTCACAGACTAGGGTCAGCAGTTTGGCCCCATTCTTTGCACATACCAAGCGTAAATGTCAAATCAGAATGAACATCTCACCCCATCCTCCTCTGTTTCATTAGCTGCCTATTTTTGCCCATAATCTCTTGGTTCCTAGGAGTGTAGAGAGCTGCTAAGCTAGAACTCTCCAGCTTCAGCTTTGGGGGTCCTCTCCAGGTAAAAAAGCTTCTACACCCATGTCTCCTTTGCTTAAGACTTTCACAAGCAGCAGCATGGGACTGACTGGGTTCTTTGTTTTTTGCAGCTTCTCAACAGCAACTGTGTAAGCTGACCGTATTTTGGGAAAACCAAGGGCAGCAGAAGAGAGAGACCAGAGGTATATGTCTGTCAATTAAGACAGCTCTGCATTGGCTAATACTTGTTAGCATTTTGGAAGATGATTCTCACAGCTGTGCTGTCTTTTAGATCCAACTTAGGTATCTCTTCCATTTCTACAAAAGGTCTCATAGAAAAAGATACAGAAAGAAACAGCATCAAGGAAAGGGGAAGGAGAATGTAAGCTTCCATGAGTTATGAGGAAGCAGTATTCCCCTGTCTGATGGGTTAGGGCTCTGTGTCCTCATTTCCCCCCATTCTTTACTCTTTCCTACAGACGAATTCCCCAATCTGTAGCTTTTCTTCAAAGAAAGACACTAATTTTATATATTTATATTTAATATACACACACATCTACACACACACACACACACACACACACTCTTTCCTACAGCTAAATTCCCCAAGTTAGAGTGTGTACACACACACACACACACACACACTCAATAAACACTAACTTGGAGAATTCAGCTGTAGGAAAGAGTAAAGGGGGGAGGGGAGGAAGAGGAGACCACAGAGTCCTACCCCATATAATAATTTTTTTTTTTTTAAACAGATGAATGCAAATACACATTCCTACCTCAGGATGGGCACAACATGGTCTAATACAGTGATTCTAAATGAGGGTGCTACAAGATCCTTTTAAGACAGAGGTCAGCAACCCCCGGCACACGTGCCGAACATGGCACACAAGGCCATTTTGCTTGGCACACCACCGCCAGCCTGGGCTCTAAGCAGCTGCTGCCAGCCATGGAGCCCAGGCTGCTCCTAGCAGGCTGCTGGGAGGTTGCAAGCCCTGCTGCAAGCAGATCAGGCTCTGTGGGCCGGCTGCAGCCGGGAGGCTGCAAACAGCTGCTTCAGGCTCTGGCATGTTGGCATTTCAGCACCTTCCAAGGTAGATATTGTGGGTTTTTGGCACTGTCTAAAAAATGTTGCCTACCCCTGTTTTAAAAGATGCCACAGGGTGCCATGCAACATTAGTACAGGCAGCCCTCAACTTAAAACGTTTCGAGTTACAACATTTCACACTTGCAGCATTTATAAATTGACACCATTTCAACTTTACAACGCCAGTTTCGACTTACAGCGTTTGATCCGATGCAATGCCATGCCAGAGAACAAGTTTGCTGCATCGCTCATCTGCCTGGAGAACATCTGTCCAAACTTCCTTGGACACTTTCTTTAAGCAAGCAGATAAGTCTCCAGAAAAACCTGCAGCCAGGACTCATGAGAAGACTCCAGCCAAGAGCCCTTCAAAAAGTTCAGCAAAGTCACCTCAAAGAAGTCCTTCCAAATCAATACAATTGCTATTTACAATATAAATATATTAACATAGCTATATTACTCATCTATAATTGATCGAGTACAAAATTCTGGGGTATTTTTGGTAGGGTATCGGGCCTTGGTTTAGGAACCAATCCCCCATTTATAACATTGTTTCTTATGACAAAATTGGTTCTGAGTTACAACGTTTCAATTGTGTCAAATAAGTTTGAGGACTGCCTGTACTGCTGTACTGTTAGGTGTACAACACATACACATGATTCGCAAGATAAACCCAGAGATTTCAAATAGTAAGTCATACAGTGTCAAAAATATTCTAACCTGTTACGAACTTGCCGAGTTCTTTGCAACCAAAAAATGAGTGATTCTTCTAAGGTAGAAAAATAATGAAGTGAAAGCTAAATATACATGTATATTTGGCTACCAGTGCCTCAATCACTATAATAAAATAAATTCTAAATACCTTTACATTTTAGTATTTGATTTTGGGTTTATCATGGAAAAAATCAGAGCTCCCCATGACCCCTTAGCTCACAGAATGCAGGTCCAGGCGTCTCACTCCAAAGCCACAGCCTCCCACCCTGCTGGTGCCTCTCACTCCCTCGCCCCCACCTCACAGCCCCCAGCCATGCTGATGCCCCTCACTCCACCCCCAATCCCCCCCCAACCTTGATGGGGCCCCTCACTCTCCCCCCCACCAGCTGCCAGGGTTATGGGGCCAGGGATCCAGGTCCACAGCCCCCTGTCCTCCACAGCAGTGCCCGAGTCCCAGCTGCTGCCCATGGGAGGTGGCAGCTGCTGCAGCAGAGTGGAGCACAGAGCTCAGCTGCCCCTCCCCTGCAAGCAGCATAGCCAGAGTAGAGCCCATGGGGGGTCAGGTGTGGGCTGGCTGCTGCAGGCTCAGGGGGCAGGGATGGCTTCCCACTGCTGTGCACACTCCCAGGGCAGCAGAGGGACCCATACCCCCCAATCTGCCCATGGGATGGGGGCAGGTGCAGGTTGCCCGATGTGGCCTTGGGCTCCGCCTCCCCACCCTGCTTCTCTCCCTCCAGGGTCTCCGCAGCCCAAAGGATGGGATCCGACAGAGCAGAGTAGGGCTGAGTGAGGACGCTCCTTGCCACTGTGAGGTCTGCACTGCCCTGGCAATGTGCCCCCTGCCTCTCCCACAACAGCAAGGGGCACAACCCCACACCACTGTCCTTGCTGCTGCTGGGCAGGCAGAGGATGTTTTGCCAGGGCAATTTGGGGCTCGCAGTGGCAAGGAGCTTCCCTGCCCAGCTCCACTCTGCCCTGCCATGCACATGGCACCTCCTCCCTGACTACTCTCTTCCCGCTCCCCCCAGCCCCTTAACAGGCCGAAACTCTGCCAGTCTGCTGAGCTCTTCGCAAAAGCACAAAATCCACGTTTCTCCATTAAAATGAGAAATCCACATTTTTCTCAGGTAAAAAGGGAAATCCATGTTTTTCTCCATTTTTCCATGGGAAACAGAAAACCTGGATCCCTGCTGATGAACCACGCTCAACTGAAACAAGCTGCCAACCTACCATTTTGGGAAAGCATCAACACTACTTACAGTCTTCAAATATGATTTCCTTGCATTTCAGTGTCATCCTTGCTGCTGAACAGGAACTGAAGTCTGATTCTGAGAGTTTTTCTGGGAGCTTGGCCCAGAGCCTGCTAAAACTAAACTATCAATAGATAAACAGTCCCACCAGCTCTAGATACAGCTCTTCACTGATCAAAATTTGCTAGTTACACGACATACAGAGCTGAAGCATATATACAGGTCAGAAACAAACTGTGAAGTCACCGGGAGCTGAGGGGGCTGCAAACAAGAGGCATTTCAGTATTAATATCCATGGTGCCTTGCACCCAGGGAGAGGAAAGAAATAGCACAAACATAAAGCTGCAGAATGATCCTAGTTGCTATAGGCACTGTATTAATACAAGTCATTCTTCAACTTGTCTTCTCAAGAGTTCAGTCAGTGACACAATCACCCTGTAAATAGGTACCTATGTTGCCAACATCAGACTTTTAAAAAAAGAGAGAAAAATCCATGCTACTTGCAACTTTATAATACTGTTTGCACTCTCAGCTTGTACAGCGAAAATCACTAATGTTAGCTCTACTTCAGAATATCAATCTGGATTTCAAGCATGGCAGAAGAATGCCTGCCCATTATAAACCTAATTGTTTTCCTTGTTCTTTCAAGTATACTAGGGCAGTTTCTCTTCCAGTCTGTGCTGGCACCTGCAGCAGTGTAGCGATGAAAGTTTCACTTCCCCTACTCATGGGCTAGCACAGAACCTGGTGTAGGCTTGTGTCTGTCCCCTGCAGTGATCCACTAAGTTGCACCCCTGTTGCCAAGGCCTCCACAGGGTTTTATAGAGAGAATATCTACTTTTTCCTGAGCTATATTCCACCTCATCTCCTTGTGGATGTCTGCACCCCACTGCCACTTCATTCCCTGGACCACCACAAGCCAGGATCTACTATGGAGGTGCTACAGAACCTGCCTGAGGTCTGGTACATAAGTCACTTGTAGGGGGAGTACTGATGAAGGGGAACTAACATCCATCATTCCTTTTAGTACAAGAACAATTCACACCACAGGTAACTGGTCTCTAACAAGAAATCAGGCCTACGGAGGAACACACTCCTCTCAGTTTCCAGATTCTCGTTTATTGTAAAAACAAATTATATTTTGACTCAAACTCAAGAGGACAGTGCCTCTTCAATATACTAACAGTGGCTTATTTTGTCCACAAGAGGATCAGTTGGGACAAAGACAGAGAGGCAACCATAGCAAGTTTGAGAAAGCTGAGGTTAAACTAAGCAGTTTGGGCAATATTCATTATTCAAGTGAAGGAGTGACAAACAGTAGAGACAGAACAGGAATGTCTAAGCAGGGAGTTATACTGATGTAACACAAACACCAGTTTAAATTCACAGCTTGTCTACATGGGCGTGTAGACTAGTGTAAATGAAGCCCTAAGAAAGCACAGCTATATACTGATGGGAAAGGAACTCATATAGAAGAGTGCTGCATGTAAAATATTTACGTTTGTGGCAGAAAGTCAAACTGAGTATGTTGTACTGCAACAAAACTAATCACAATGCCTCCTATGTTTGCAACTTTGTTATTTGCGACTTTAACCCATTGCAGCTTGTCACTAGGATGCAGAATATCCCCATCTAGTGGGCTCTTAACAGATGTAAGGACCATGAACTTGATACCTAACTTCAGTCAAATCTTCTCTCACAATAGTTTCAAGTATAAGTGAAAGGAAAAGATAATCAGGTTGGATTTGCCTTGAGTTCAGGTAGTCTGATTTTTAAGTTTAGTTACACAGGTGTAACTTCTCTCACGGTGACCATGAGGCCTTTGGGTCCAAGCCAACTCCTCTGTCAACTGCAAAGTTATCATCAGTATCAGTGGGAAAGAACAAAGCATTTCATTTTCTTCTTCAGTTTGCCAGTCACTTGTATTAGAAATATGTTCTTGCTTTCCTTGCTTTTTGGTTGTTCATCCTTCCTTGGCTGTTCAAGTTTGCTGCATCTTTTCTTAAAATTAGGCTGTAAGCTTTTCAGGAAAGGACCCATCCCCTCATGGGTTTGTTCACTTAGGACAGACCCTCTCCTTCCCTTAAGGCCTTTATATAGGGCTAGAAGTACAGATAAATAAATAAATGACAATAGAGAAACTAAGAGTCACATAAGGTCAGCCTCATGGCAGCAAACTGTACTGTCAGGCAGCCAACTTGGATTTGATCTTAGTCATAGTTCTAGGCCTGGAGTAAGTTCAAAAAAGAGAAAAGGGCCTTAGGTCATTATATTTACCCTAAAAAAACTCACATATCCTTTCTGTGCAAGATCACACTACATTATGAAGTGCTGCAATAGATCAGTGGTTTTCAACCTTTTTTGGACCAGGACCCATTAGTAAATATCAATGGCCAGTCCTGACCCAGTAAATAGTTTAAGTAGAAAACACACAAGTATTTTGGCCCCAAAAGACTTCTTACACTGTAAGTGAAAGCAGCTCAACAGTCCTATTTTTGAAGACAGAAATCAACATCAAGAGGAAAACATTAACAGCAATATCAACATCTGATCCTCCATTACCCAAGTGCACATTGCCAGTGCCCGTCACTCCTGACTCGCAGACCCCTGACCCTGCCAGTGTCCCTCACTCCCAACTTGCAGCACCCTGAGCCTGCCAGTGTCCCTTGTCCCTGACCCACAGCTCCCTGGCCCTGCCAGTGTCCCTTACTCCCAAGCCACCCCCCCAGCCCTGCTGGTGCCCCTACCGACCCACAGCTCCCTGTCCTTGCTGGTGCCCCTCATTCCCGACCCACAGTCTGCCTGCCCACTCCTGACCCACAGTCTGCCTGCCCCTCCCCTGCCAGAGGGGGCCTCCAGCTGCCCCAATCCAGAGCAGGCCAGAGCATGGCGGCTGCAGCAGCTCTGGCTCATGCAGGCAATGAGCAAGTCTAGCTTGGTGGAGCAAGTCTAGCCCCAGTGTGGTCTGTGAGGATGGGGAGGGGAGGCCTGTGGCAGTCCCAACCCTGGACTGGGGCTCCTGCAGCCATGCCAGGCAGCCTGGCCACAGCCCACCCCTGGGCAGCATCTGCCAGCCTCCTCACCCCTGCAAGCATGGGCACCAGCCCCAGTACCACCGGCCTGGCCACACAGCTCCCATGCACCCCTGAAGGGCCCCACCACCCCCTTGCCCCACTGAAGGGGGCAGGCACCTCCACCCACCCCTCCTGCCCTGCTGCAGCCTCAGCACCTAGACACCTTTCTTCAGTGCCAGCAGGCACC